CAATGTCAGAACATTGCATCATTTTAAAGAAGCTTGTTGGCTATAGTTTATATACATACACTTCACGATAACCCATAAGTGGCACTTAGACACTAAATAGCTAAGATGCAAATAAGGCTGCTTCATGGTTCCTATAATTGATTTTGTTGGCAACAACTAAACACAATTATGCTGTCCTGAATGCAATAATACCAATGGAAAATGCAGCAAATAAGCACTTGCCGCTTTAGAACATATCAGCCAAGAGCAGCTAAATCATATATACGGAAGTCCAATTATACTGAATATTAAAGTAGGGTTTGAAAGTCAGAAAGCAAAGTAAGTAAAATCTCCTTGTACATATGCATGATTCATAACAAGATATTGTAAGCTGCTGTTTTTTCTTTTCTTGAACAACACATACAAATGTGTTTGGACAATGCTACAACACGGACCACATGACCTAAAAACTTTAAAGGGACGCTATAGGCATCCAGACCACTTCTGCTCATTGAAGTGGTCTGGGTGCACAGTCCCAGGTCCATTTACCCTGCAAAATTTTATTGCAGTTTTTAAGAAACTGCGATAATTTCCTTCCAGGATTAACTCCGCCTCTAGTGGTGGTCTACCAGAAAGCCACTAGAGGGACTTTTGGTCGCCTGCCGCCAGACATCCTCACGCTATACATGAGGACATCCAACATAATGTAAAACCCCATAGGAAAGCATTAAACATGCTTCCCTTGGTGGAAATACTAATGCAAGTGCAGTCATTGCCACGCCTTAGGTCTGAGGAGCGCAGGCAGAGCCAAGAAACAGCACATGATTGACATCGGCAGACTCACGTCGAGTGCATGTACATTTCTGCTTTCCTTTAGGTGTTTAAAATACTTTCCCAATGTTCCAGAGGGCAAATAAATAGGGATATTGTCGGTTTTCTTAAGCTTGTTGGCCAGAGCTAGTGCAGGGAACAGCCTTTCTGGGATATTGCGTTTCAGCCCAATCTATTGTGGTAGATTCAGTGTTTTATACCCCCTTATTATCCAGTTATTATCCAATCTGGACATAATCCACTAGTTGTGAAGTGCAGGAATTACACTTGTAATTGCTATGCAAAAATAGAATAGAAAAGGTGTGACTGGGCAGTGAGATCCATCCAGAAACGATGCCGCCACTCCAAGTAAGAATATATTAAATAACAGGAAAGTCCTGTATAATAAGGGAGGTTATATTCCGGTGCAAATTCCGGATTCCCAAACATAGACAATTAGTGATGTCCCGAACTGTTCGCTGCGGACTCATCATTGAGTAAACTTTGACCCTGTACCTCACAGTCAGCAGACACATTCCAGCCAATCGGCAGCAGACCCTCCCTCCCAGACCCTCCCATCTCCTGGACAGCTCACTAAGAATGCAGCTTCACAATGGATGCTGTCCAGGAGGTGGGAGGGTCTGCTGCTGATTGGCTGAAATGTGTCTGCTTACTGTGAGGTACAGGGTCAAAGGTTACTCAATGATGAGTCGGCGGCGAACCGTTTGTAGCGAACCGTTTGGGACATCACTATAGACAATACTTCATAGAATAAAGTTATGGTACGTACTCCCGGATAAACCCTTATAATCCACAGAAAAAATTGATTTCTATGCGAATAAATGAGGAATGAATATGTTGCCAAAATTCACATTTATTGAAAATTAGTGCAAAAAAAAAAATTGCAGAAAATGTATCATGGCAATCCTCATACATGATGATATCAATACCTGCTGCTGCCAAATGAGAGAGACGCCACTCACACTGGTACCCAACAAAAGATATGAGGTGAGTACCCTGGACGCGTTTCGCACCCCCTTGGTGCTTTTTTTCTAGAGAAAGCACCTGGTGTGCAAAACTCGTCCAGGGTACTCACCTCATCGCTTTTGTTTGGTAGCAGTGTGGGTGGTCTCATCTGGCAGCAGCAGGTATTACCATCATTTGGACACTTTTTCCCTCTTATCCAATATTCCTATTTTTTTTTTTTGTGTGTCATTTTTGCCTGGATACTTGGAGTATGATTAACATTTCAATTCATTGCATGCGGTTTGCATAATACCATGCCTGCATTGATATTCATCATGTATGAGGACTATTCTGATACATTTTCTGCCATATTTAATTTTTTTGCACTAATTAATCAATAAATGTGAATTTTTGCAACATTCATTCCTTTATTTATTCGCATAGAAATAATTTTTTTTCTGGGGATTACAGGGATTTATCCCTGAGTGCGGACCATAACATTATTCTATGAAGAATTACACTTGTACACGATAATTTGAGCAAATCAATTCGGTTACAGCACATTTTTTTTTTTTTTTTTTGCTTTAGCCCTGTGAGGTCCCTGATCTATTGTCGTCAACTAAGAGGGGTATAAAAACACGTTATTTGAGTATCATTTCCTTGTTGTGGCATGTGGGCATTACAGAAGTGTACTATATTTGTGGCAATTTATTAACCAAGTTACAGCACATTTGTTTTTGCTGCAGCCTTGTGACGACTAAGACCCTAGTGTCCGGAATGGGGTATTACACAGAGAATTTTATATACACACACACAAAATGAACATTTTTGATACGTTTGGTGTGAAGTATTTTCTTTTTTTACACAATTAAATACTATTGGATATTATTTAGGTGGCTACTAAAGCCTTTTTAAGTATTTAAAATAAAAAAAAAAATTAATTATTATTATTGCCATTTATATAGCGCCAACAGATTCTATAGCGCTTTACAATATTATTAGAGAGGGGATTTAACTATAAATAGGACAATTACAAGAAAACTTACAGGAACGATATGTTGAAGAGGACCCTGCTCAAACGAGCTTACAGTCTATAGGAGGTGGGGTATAAACCACATTAGGACAGGAATTAGCAGTCAAATTAGGTGGGAGTGAAGCAGAGCTGGATGAGAGAGTTCTGCTCTTTAGGAGAGAGCAAGAGACAGGTATGTGAGGTAGAGGTAAGTCTGGGAGGCCATAGGCTTTTTCCTAAAGAAATTGGTTTTAAGGCACTTCAAACGATTGAAGACTAGGGGAGAGTCTGATGGTGGTAGGCAGGCTATTCCATTGGAAGGGAGCCCCCACGAGAAGTCCAGCAAGCAAGAGTTGGCCATACGGGTTCGAGCAGTGGACAGAAGGTCACGGGCAGAGTGGAGAGACCGAGAAGGGGCATACCTAAGGATCTGTGAGGAGATATAAGAGGGGCTAAGATTATTCAGTGCTTTATAGGTATGGGTTAGCACTTTGACTTGACTCCTATAGTATACAGGAAGCCAATGTAAGGACTGACAGAGGGGTGACTTATTAATTTTATGTGTAGGAACAAGCTAGATGCCTACTACAATGGCTTAGTTTTCTCCTCTACTCCACTTAGTCTTTGGTTTGTGATTCTGCCTATAGTCCTTTATTAAACTTAATTGTTGCCACTTTATACCTTAAGTTGCAACAAGTATCGAACAGATACATTGCTACCCTTATAAAGTTGTTATTTCTGCAGGTCGACACCATCATATCACGTAGTACTCATTACCGTAAATAATAGCCATATTTTTTTATTTTATTTTTTTTCCCCTTTTGTGATCGGTCAGAAGCTTCGCATATCAGTGCACTGAACTCTGGCAGATCGCTGTAAGAGCACATTTAACATTGTTCGTTTGAGTCCTTGTTTCCAACAGAAATTTGGAAAATTTGTTACATGCTAACCGTAGTTTATCTAAAGAGGGCACTATTAACCCCCTTTATCATTAGAGATCTCCTAGCTCTATTAAAAGCAGAGATCGGTTCGTATAGTTTTCCTTCAAAGTGAACCATAATTGGTTTTAAAGGTGGTGGTATCAGTATATAGGTGTTTGTGGATTTATACTAGAATCTATTAAAAGTTAAATTTCATTTATGAAGAGATTTTTTTACTTCCCCCTTTTTTCACTCCTGATTTAGCTTAATTTTGGGATTAGATTCAATAGGGGTTATCCCCCAACAGGAGATATACACTGACCTATAGTCAATTTTATTGCTACTACGTAGCAGTACAAAAGCTATAGGTTTAAAGAAAATAAAAAAAAATACAAAAATCTACATGCCCAAGGCACTAAAGCAGTAGGCTAATTTACTTGTCTATCATGACAATCTACTTGTCCTGACTCAATTTAAATTACACAGATGGGGCTCCTGCCAAGAGCCATGGACATTGACAAGGCTATTTGCAATACTCTGAATTTTCACAAATTAAATCTGAACGGAAAATTGGAGGCAAAAATAGCGGATCTGGAAAAATTCTCTAATCCCTCTATAATGAAAACACTGCTATTTTGGCCTCACTTCTGCAATTTGGTTTTATTTTTGCAAAACGTTTGTGAATTACCTTGAGTGTTTGACCCTGTGCGCTCTCTTTGTCATATAAACCTTCAAAACAGAGACAGAAGGCTGCAATAAGTTACCCAGGCTCTGCACACTAGGTTGTGTGTGTTAGTAAAAGACAGTTTAACCCCTTAAGGACCAAACTTCTGGAATAAAAGGGAATCATGACATGTCACACATGTCATGTGTCCTTAAGGGGTTAAAGCAAACAAATAACATGCATCTGTCTCTAGTCTCCAATTAGAACGATCATCATTAAATTGAGACTCAAATGTTCTATGCAGCCCTTGCTCACATCCAACCTGCACATGGTCCATCCATATGAAACCATAGTAACAGTGTGGGCAGAATAGAAAGATTAATAAAGTGAGTGACATCTTTGCTTGGTTCGGTTTTCTGATCCAGTTCAGGAAAAAAAAAAAAAAGTCACAAGGCTTTAGAAATAACTCAATCTCCAATGCATTCCAATTTCCAATCACCACCATGAGTACCCGTGAAAGACTGAACTTTATTCAACATCTCTTCATCCACACAACTGCACGAGGGCAACAATGCAATATATTCAATCTCGGTCTATCAAAACATGTTTTTATAGAGAGATAGAACAATCTAGTTATATACATTCTTTATATATATATGTGTGTGTGTGTGTGTGTGTGTGTGTGCGCGCATATATATATATATATATATATATGTGCGCACACACACACACACACACACACACACATATATATATATATACCACCTTTAAATAAACAAATCAATTTGAACATTTTTACAACTTTTTTGCATGACAATTATATAAAACATATACAGTGGAACCTCTGAACTCTAACTTGATTCAGTTCTAGAACAAAATCAGACCTCGAACAGCCTTCTGGAACAGATTAACATTTCCCATAGGAATTAATGTAAATTTGTTAGACCCCCAAAATTACATGGATGGAGATAGGTAACTGTTCTTCTGGCATTATATACAAAAGCATATAAAATGGATGCATCATGTTCAAAATATCTAATACCCCTCTTCCCTCTGCTCGTATCCTTATGTCCATAGTCCTTCTTCCCTTATTCGTGTCCCTTTGTCCTCTGGTATCCTCCTACTCATATTTTCCTCTCTTTGCATAATAATTCTGTCCATATCCCTTCACCCTTTACTTGTGTCCCTCTGCCCTCTGGTTTTCCTCTCCCTATATTCCCCTCTATCCCTTTATATAGTCCATCTGCCCATATTTCCTCATCTCACACTTGTATCCCTCTGTGAATGTGATGTGTTCGGGTACCAAGACATTTTTGACACAAAATTTTAGTTCAACTTCCGAATTGTTCGAGAACGGGAACGTTTGAGTTCCAAGGTTCCACTGTACATACAATCAATGCAAAAAATCTATAAAGGAACCTGATTTTACAGTACTTGGCAGATCCTAAAATGATGTAGAAAGAGAAATGATTTCTAAATTATTATACAATTAGCTAAATCTGTTCTTTTTCAAAAGTTTGAGGCAGAATGGATGCTAAGGTCCAAACCCAATTATCAAATCGCACACAGCAAAATTAGCACATTCACTGCACCGTATAAATTCAACTAGTCCTTGAGGAGATGGAGAAAACCCATTTTGTTTGTAAGAAAGATGGGGGGAAAAAAAGAACTCACACAAAAAAATAAAAAAGTAAAGAGTTTTACAACCAGTTTCCTCATTATATCCATTCATATTCAAATGCAAATGAGTCACAAACTTTTTGATAAGAAATTATGGTTAAAACTTAATTCTCTACACCCTGGGTTGTCAACATGTGGTTTGACAACCACTGAGTATGCCAGAAGCAGATGGTGGTCCAGCTCAAAATAGTTCCTGAATGGCCATGCCATCACTCACTGCTGCAGAGGGGGTATCTAATTTGGCCTTTGGAGACTGCCTAACTTGATAGCTCTCCCAGGTGGCATCCTGTGCGATTACATCATATTCTGAGGCCGCCCACGCATTGGGTCCTCAAAGGTTGAGAAGGACGAGTTTGTGGACCAGAGCAGCCTCACACTGACCTTGGCTGGTTTTATATGGGATGGAAAGGGCTCAGCTCTTAGCCTGCCAACCAAGATTTGCATATACAAGGACAAACCAAGTTCGGTGTACCTAAAATATAAGTAATAACCAAACCAAACAATTTAGTCAATCAGTAAACATTGGGAACACTGGTGTTTGAGGACATGTCCGGTTTAATTTTTGAGGGATGATAGGGTAGCATGAGCAGTTGTGATATACTGTATGTCTCATACAAGTTATCCATTAACAGTGCAGCTACACCAAGTACTCAATAATTTAAGTTTTTTTTTTTTTTTTTTTTAACTAAATAAAATTAAAATAAATAAATACATAAATAAATAAATTAAAAAACCCACAAGGTTCTGTTTTCGGATTTAGTCTTCTATATTTTGCCACGAAGCTATATGTTTGTGCATCAGTGTCTTCTGTGTGTAAATGTGTGTTTATTATATTTTCATTTTGTACTTTAGATTAATAGTTCATACACGTCTCCTTAAATATTCACATTGACTTATTTATTTTAAAAATATTATTTACTTCCTTTAACCCCTTAAGAATGGCAGGCATGCTATGTCGTCCTGATAAAGAGTGGGCTTAAATGCCGCAGGGCAACAGAGCACATCCGCAGGATCGCAGCGCTATATTCCCTTAACCTGATCAGAGGGATTGCCCGTAGCTTTCCAAAACCCCATAAAACCTTTACATGGGTTGTACTATTGTACTTGTGAGACATCACTGAAAACAAATGTGTGTTATTGCAGCAAAAGCTAAAGGTATGACTACATACACAGTTAAAATGCCATGCAGAACTTTAAAGATAGCATGGCAAAAATAAAGGATTTCCTAATTTCTTACACCTAATTTAATAAGAATAAAATCTGTTTCTCCTGCACAAAATGATCTATAATAAGTGTGCGGGCACAATATGAAAGGTGAATTATGGACACCTAGCTCAAATTCTAGGATTTGTTTTATTTTACTATCAGAACTTATACAATTGTAAGGGCTAAATCATGCTTGTTCTCTAATATGGGACTAACGTAAAGGGACACTATAAGCACTCAGACCACTTCATCTAATTGAACTGGTCTGGGTGTAGTGTCCCTGACCCCTTAACCCAGCAATGTAAAAAAAAAAAAAAAAAAAAAATTGCAGTTTAGAGAAATTGCAATGCTCACACTGCAAGGCTAAGACTGCCTCTAGTAGCTATCCACCAGACAACTACTTTAACTTTGTGAAACACAGATGTCCTCACCCTTTGTGTGAAGACATCCAGTGTCTTTCAAAACTCTAATAGGAAAGCATTAATTCAATGCATTCCTATGAGAAAGGCCTAATGCATGTGTGGGGCTTGCCAGGCAAGCGCATTAGGTTTCCCCTCCTGGAAACAAGTGCTTATTTCTTTTTAACCTTTTGATAGTTGCGGGAGCTGCAGGGGCAAAGGGGCACTCAAGTGTTAGGAACACAACTTTTAACCCCTTCAGACCCGCGGGATGGGGACACTTCAGGAGCCTATATAGTGCCAGGAAAACACAGGTTTTTTTTCCTGGCAGTATAGGATCCCTTTAAAGCAGCACTCCATGCACAATAACCGCTACGGCCCATCAAAAAGTGGTGAATGTCCACATAGTCTGTAAACACCTTTTATAAAATAATGATAAAAAAAAAACAAAAACAAAAAAACAACGTAATACAGGGTTTTCTCAGCACATACAGCCTTGCCCCTCACTCGTCACTCCGCTAATGTGGAATTGAGGGAAAGTTAGTATTTCTCCCAACCTTACTGCTCAAAGCTCGTCAATTATATCTCTTATGGCAACTGGCCAATTTTCTGAGGAATATTCTGCATGTCTAAAAAAACTTATATCAGGAGCCATATTATATTTGTACTCTTGCGCATGCAAAAATAAAAATCAGAACCTGTGGAAAGGGATTGTCACAACAGGGCACAATGAGAGGACATATGCATCTATAATGCATTGCTCAAGATTATGTCTCCAATAGTGAAAGGAAAAAAAACAATTATGAAACAGGTCAGACTTTAAAGGGACACTATAGTCACCAGAATAACTACAGCTTATTTAATTTGTTCTTGTGAGCAGAATCATTACCTTTTCAGAGAAAATGCACTGTTTACATTACAGCCTAGTGATAACTTCACTGGCTACTCCTAAGATGGCTGTTAGAGATCCTTCCTGGGTCATGGCTGCCTAAAACGCATCCAAACATTCATTATCTCCTCCCTCTGCATGCAGACACTGAACTTTCCTCATACAGATTCATTGACTCAATTCATCTCTATGAGGAGATGCTGATTGGCCAGGGCTGTGTTTGAATCATGCTGGCTCTGCCCCTAATCTGCCTCTTTATCAGTCTCAGCCAATCCTATGGGGAAGCACTGTGATTGGATCAGGCCACCACTTCTGATGAGGTCAGCAAACAGCTTTTTTTCTGAGGGAAACAGCATGCAGATCTAAAGTTTCAGGCTTGAATACAGTAAGATTTTGCTATATTTATGGAGGCATGAGGAGTCCAGGGGGGCTAGATGGTGGTGTTAACACTATAGAGTCAGGAATACATGTCTGTGTTCCTGACCCTATAGTGACCCTTTAATCAACATTTCAGCTTTGTTATTTTTCTGCAGAAGACAAAAAATAAAAAAATAAAAATTGGTCCCTATTTTATTCTTATACAACTTTTATTGTGTACATGTTTTTAGTCAAACTCCACATTTAGAAGTAAAATGTCTGCTTATAAATTATCTTCTAGACTAAAGCAATAAAAAGACAAATCAGTTGTGACTTATGCATGTTGAACTAAAACATGCAAATCTCACAGATGACAGGTCAATGAAGACAGGTGTCATGAATAAACAAAAGGAATAGGGCAACATAACCCAACATTGAAGAAAAAAAGAAACCATAAATACCATTGTCAAGCTGATCATGACATAATCCAGCAGTGTTTAAGCAGCATATCAGCCAGTTCCAAAGAACAACAACATTATCCCAGCTGGTCACAGCTGATTGTGCATTGAAATGAAACATGGCAAATTTGCCTTCACCTGCTGAGAATTTCTTTTGAAGACTTTGCTCTTAAACCCCGGGTTGTTTTGCTTTTGGTCTCAAAGTTAATGGAAATAATTGCCATCAAAAGTCAGCTGTCAAGGTATAGATATAGATATCCATCCAACAATATTCATGATGTGCATATGCTTGTGACCCAACTGTTACCCAAACCTGATGAGAAAATCTCGGGGCTCAGTAACCACACTTCTGCACTATTAAACCCTGTCCTCTGTAAAGTCTCAGACGTGTGTGCCCCACTAGCAATTTAAACACATACAACATGAAATATTCAAAACGGATACTCCAGGCATAAACACAACTTTTACTTATCTTAGGTCTTGGTCAAATAAAATAAAAAAAATAAAAAAGCAAGTTGGTTCATTCTTGAGAGCAATCAGTAATCCTTTTTTTGGCATGGGAAGTGCTAATGGCCCCATCCCCAATTGAAGTCCAATGGAATTTATATGAAGAATGAAAAATGGAGAGCATAAAAGTAAAGGCATAAAGTCACTGTAACAGGAACAGGGAATGACTGGTCCGCAAGTCAGGATCCAAACCATGTCCATCTCCTCTGTCATCAGGAACAATCAGAAAATCTTCCAGGTCTTGTCCTAACTAGTGAAATGGCAGG